TGGTCAAAATAAGCGACTTCAGTGACAGAAAAACAAAGATCCAAAAGTTGTTGTCTGTCATACACCAGCAGAGAGTTGATGTCACAGATGTGAAATGCAAAAAACAAAAATAATCCGAACACCATCAGCAGAGGTGGATTGCAAGCCATGTACACGGGCGCCATTTTACCGGAAGTTATTACTATTTATTATTAACAGTTGGGTGGACGCGTGCGGCTGAGGGGGCAGAAGATTGTAGCTGAGGAGCCATCATAGCACATTAAATGCTTCCCATGCTACCTGCATTGGACCCTGCTCTGACATGTCAGATATTTTGTGATCTCACTTGTTTGGGTCGTTGGCCACGCGCTTCTGCTGAGTGCAGCGGCTGAATGAATGTCCATTTGGGCTGATGAATCGCTGGCAGTAGTCCATCTGAAGCATAACTGAACTTTTTACCACTTTCAACCGGCTGGTCAGCGCGCTGTCAAATAGTCGCATGCGGCAAGTGTAGTAAGGCAAGCCATGTTTTTATATATTGGATCGTTGGCCACACACGTCCCTGACGCAATAAAAAGCCAGACGCCAACCCGGCCCACACATTAAGCACATTATTATGGTCCGGCCCGGTCAGAATCCAGGTCGGGCAAGGCCAGGCTCCGGGTTCGGGTTAGAAATGACAGCTCTACCAAGCAGTGCCATTCCCACTATTATATACTGGTCCTTCTAAAAAAATTAGCATATTGTGATAAAGGTCATTATTTTCTATAATGTAATGATAAAAATGAAACTTTCATATATTTCAGATTCATTGCACACCAACTGAAATATTTCAGGTCTTTAATTGTTTTAATCCTGATGATTATGGCATACAGTTCATGAAAACCCAAAATGCCTGTCTCAAAAAATTTGCATATAATGAAAAGGTTCTCTAAAAAAGCTATTAACCTAACCATCTGAATCAACGACGTAACTCTAAACACCTGCAAAAGATTCCTGAGGCTTTAAAAAACTCCTAGCCTTGTTCATTACTCAAAACCGCAATCATGGGTAAGACTGCCGACCTGACTGCTGTCCGGAAGGCCATCATTGACACCCTCAAGCAAGAGGGTAAGACACAGAAAGAAATTGCTGAACGAATAGGCTGTTCCCAGAGTGCTGTATCAAGGCACCTCAGTGGGAAGTCTGTGGGAAGGGAAAAGTGTGGCAGAAAACGCTGCACAACGAGAAGAGGTGACCGGACCCTGAGGAGGATTGTGGAGAAGGGCCGATTCCTTCCCAGACCTTGGAGAACCTGCGGAAGCAGTGGACTGAGTCTGGAGTAGAAACATCCAGAGCCACCGTGCACAGGCGTGAGCAGGAAATGGGCTACAGGTGCCGCATTCCCCAGGTCAAGCCACTTTTGAACCAGAAACAGCGGCAGAAGCGCCTGACCTGGGCTACAGAGAAGCAGCACTGGACTGTTGCTCAGTGGTCCAAAGTACTTTTTTCGGATGAAAGCAAATTTTGCATGTCATTCGGAAATCAAGGTCCCAGAGTCTGGAGGAAGACTGGGGAGAAGGAAATGCCAAAATGCCAGAAGTCCAGTGTGAAGCACCCACAGTCAGTGATGGTCTGGGGTGCCATGTCAGCTGCTGGTGTTGGTCCACTGTGTTTAATCAAGTGCAGGGTCAATGCAGCTAGCTATCTGGAGATTTTGGAGCACTTCATGCTTCCATCTGCTGAAAAGCTTTATGGAGATGAAGATTTCATTTTTCAGCACGACCTGGCACCTGCTCACAGTGCCAAAACCACTGGTAAATGGTTTACTGACCATGGTATTACTGTGCTCAATTGGCCTGCCAACTCTCCTGACCTGAACCCCATAGAGAACCTGTGGGATATTGTGAAGAGAAAGTTGAGAGATGCAAGACCCAACACTCTGGATGAGCTTAAGGCCGCTATCGAAGCATCCTGGGCCTCCATAACACCTCAGCAGTGCCACAGGCTGATTGCCTCCATGCCACGCCGCATTGAAGCAGTCATTCATGCAAAAGGATTCCAGACCAAGTATTGAGTGCATAACTGAACATGATTATTTGAAGGTTGGCATTTTTTGTATTAAAAACACTTGTCTTTCATTGGTGGGATGAAATATGCTAATTTTTTGGGACAGGCATTTTGGGTTTTCATGAGCTGTATGCCATAATCATCAGTATTAAAACAATTAAAGACCTGAAATATTTCAGTTGGTGTGCAATGAATCTGAAGTATATGAAAGTTTCATTTTTATCATTACATTATGGAAAATAATTACCTTTATCACAATATGCTATTTTTTTTAGAAGGACCAGTATATAATAATTATTATGTTATAAAATATAAAATAATTTATAATATATTGTATAATATATATAATATAATATAAATATTTAAATATATATAATTGTTATATGTATAATATATACTGTATATGTTGATGTTGGGACTCCAGCTTCCTACTCTGAGCCATTAGCCTTCTACTCAAGGTTATTGAGAAGGCTGTTGACTACCTGGGTGATCTCCGCCAAAGTACTGGACTTGTCTTACTCCGAGTCATTAGATTCATATTCCTCAATTTTGGGCATATTGACCAGTTTAAGGAGATCTGTGAGGTGCTTCTTTCATCATTTAACTATTTCCCCACTCCGACTCAGAAGTTTCCCACCCAGACAAAGCACAGCCTGGAAAGGGGCCTACTTTCCATTTGTAAGTTGCTGCACGGTTTGCCAGAATCGCTTTGAGGTCAATCAAAAGTCTTTCTCCATGGTCTTTGTAAATTCCTCCACCGCATGGGCTTTTGCATCTGCAACCATGGAATCTCCAGTCCTTCTGGTCGCCCTCTACCTGTCAGCTGGCAGCTGCTTCAGGAGTCTTACAGGACAGACAAGCCAGTAAGGCCTGAACGTGTTCCATTATCCATACCATCTTCCATCTAAGGCAGCCCTCAAAGCAGCTGGTGGGTTTTAGGGTTTTATTCAAAGGCCCACAATGTGCAAGTGAAGGTGGATACAAATGTGGGTGCTTGATCTTTTGTTGAACCACTGAAGTTTTGTTATTGTAACTGTAACTTCTGCATCATCACTCCTGCCTCTAAAGTTAAGTATTTGGAGATGCCATGGATTGAACCTGGGATGTCATACACGCACAACATGTGCTCTACCATAGAGCAACATTTCTTGGGCTGCAAATCTGTAAATGTGATTACAAAATTGGTCATTCACCTTTGGCCTAAGGTGGCCTGATACCAAGTACACTCATGGTTTGTTTACAGCCAGTGCCTAGTATAGAAGTCCTTGCCACTTTTTGGACTTATCCTCCCTTGCCACCTGGCTCACTCTTCACCATTCTTCAATGGTCCTCCTTACAGATGGAGATCCCAAGTGGAGGTGGCCTCTTATCCCTCTTTTGGGCTTGGCCCTAGGAGCCTGAAGAGTCTAGGCTTAACCACCAGGTGCTTGTCGGAGCTTCCCTCCATTCCTGACTTCCAGGGATGCTCAGGTTTCCCTCTTTTATGCTAGGCCTGACAAGTTCAATGTTTTAGTCCTAAACTTATAGTGTGCATATTTGGTTTGTACATTGTGCCTTATGACCTGTGTTTATAAAATCACTTGTTACCCTTTTTTAATGGGTCCATACTTGATTATTGCTATGTTCTTAATAGCTGTATTTTAAAACGACATGTTGCCTTGTACCTATAGGGTTTGTACCTAGTACTTGCAAGTTGTATTATAAAGTGATTTGTTACCCTGGTCTTATGGGATTCGTACTTGGTATTTATGGGATATGTATCTGGTGTGTAATACTCAATACATTACTTGTACTTCAGGAGTGCTTTTCTGATACTTTCCCATTACGTACTGGGTGCCTAGGGGACTGGGCTGCATTACAGAGGGACTTGCTACTCTGAACTTACAGGGTATGTACCAGATGTGTTTCATTTACTTTCCAGTTTAGTATCCAGAAAGTACCAAGTATGTAATTGTTATGCACTGAGCTGTATTGGTCCCATTATTTGTTTTATCCCATTCATTCTAATGTACATGTTGGAGACTTCTGAACAAACTAACCTACAAAACAAAATTCTTTTGAGGTTTTTTCGTTCGATGGATGGAAATAATTTCTAGATTCTTGAAGGAAGTTGTTTCTAAACGAATTGATATGGAGATTTTGAAAAACTTTTTTTTTTTTTATTCAATACACAGTTTTAATTTTAACTTCCCTCCAGTTTCCACATTTTGCCCTTTCTTTGCTACACTACATACGTGGTCTTAATAAATCTGTTAGGTGTATTTTTAGCTACTGCTGCTGTCACCTCTGTACTTGCTGGCACACTGAGTGTTTGTTTCTGGAACTACCAGACCTATTAAAATAATTTTGTTCTGAGATCAACCAGAGCAACTGTCACTGACAGCAAACTACATTTTTCTTTAATCTTTTCTCCTTACTGTTGTAACATGTTATAAGTAATTTTTGGATTATTCATTCAACCTTTATTTCTACAGGTTAATCCCATTGAGCCTCCAGGACTCATTTACAAGAGAGACCTGATTTAACAAAGAGTGATGACAACAATGGACAACAGCAACAACAATGAACAGTTACAAAAAGTCATACAATTTATTTTTTTTTATTTTTTTTACAAATAGGATGGCTAAAAAAAGAAAAGCAACAAAAAAACAGATAATGAGGCGAATGTAGAAAACTAAAAACAGGAACATGTCTCACTGGTCATCAAGCAAATTATTGGGCTCTCCCTAAACTAAAACCTTTCTCTGTACTGTGCAGAAAGTGTGGAGCAATGTTTATGATGAGCAGAGAGCAAGGCAGTCAAGAGGAATGTATTTCTATGGCAACCTACAGATTGCTTACAATTTTAATTTTTTTCACCTGAGTTACCCCTGGTAAAACAAAATGATTCACCCAATGACACTGCAAGTTGACCTAAAGGGGTTTGGTAAGTAAATTAATCAAGGTGTTTATCTTTTTCTTCTCTCTGGGATCAGAACCCAACCCAGGTGGGCACAGCGTTGCAAGTCTTTTATAACCTTGGCAGTTTAAGAGAAACCATCAACTTTGTTGTGGAAGGCTACAAAACCACCATAAAGGACAACATTGGCAGCGCTCTTGACATCAAGGGTTTAACAAAACCAGCTAACCCCAGAGGTAAGACCCAACTAGGATCTGCTTCATTTAATCATTATCATTAAATCTTTATTAAGTTCAGCTTTAACACATTCTCACAAGGAGCACATTGTCCTCGTTTCAGAAACCTAACAGAATATAGCATTTTCTAGGCTGACCTAATTCAAGTGTTGCTTATTCCAAAATGGGTTATTATACCAAGGCCACAGAGAATAGTCTGTTCTGACAAAAGAAATGTCTTCTTCATGGCTCTAACTTTGTGCGTCACTGTTATTTTAATTATAAATGGGTTCCTGTGCAGTCGTCAAAGTCTACAACTAGATTTTAGGCCTATATAAGTATGAAAAATCAAAAACAAAGAGTGTCAAAGCTTTGATTTTCAAACTAACAACTGCTTTAAAAATGTTTATATTTTAAAAGTTGCTAGAATGAGCAGGGTATTTTTCCACATAATTTTTACATTTCCTTAATTTTCTACTAGTATTGTTCACTTCAGGAAATTGTATAAAGAAATAGTCAATTCTTTATTGTGGAATACTCCATCTATACAATTTGTAATGTTATCAACTTTACCATTTGAGCAGACATCCGGACATGTATAAAGACTGAAATAAGAGAAATCATGTTTGCAGTTTTGGGTGATAGGCATCTGTGATATCTTGGCAAAAATATTTGGACAAAATAAAAACCTTTATCTTGTCCCCATTTTGTACTTTTGAAGTGTTGTTTCATACAAAGTGGATCATTTTTTGTGCTCAGAAATTGGTGTTTTGTGCCAGTAGTGTACAAAATTACTGTTTTGTACCCGTGCATACACTACACAAATCAATATATGCACCAGCTCCTCGTTATTCAACATTTATCATACTGGATATAGTATAGTGGATGTAGGGCTTGATGATATGGCCAAAATTTTTACCACGATTCATTTCTTAATTTTGGTCTAACAATTTAATTTGATATCGATATAAAAGTTTTAGAAAAACTGTACAAACTGTACAAATAAATTAATGTTCACCTTTTATTTGTATTTAGCCTAAAAAAAATTAAATCACCGTCAAATAAACATAAAGCTCTTAACTTAGTCAATATTAAAAGTTTTAACTTTAAACAACAACATAGCCTAACCTATATGTTTCTCTTGCTACAGCTGGGGGTGTTTCAGGACACGCTGGCTCAAACCTCTATTGTGCTTCATCTTCTGACTCTCAGCGTATTGTATCGGGTGGAAACTCTTGAGATGAAAAAAGTTAGATGAGTTCCCACCGCTAGCTGGAACGACTCTGCAGCACATAGACCTGCAGTTTATCAGATCTTAGAAAGCCGAACCACTTCCACACCAGTGAGTTAGTCTTTCCTCTCTTATCAGTGATGTCATCTGCTTCTCTTCGCTTGTGAAAACTTGTTCAGTCACATTCTGACGGTCATGGCCACTCATTTTGAAGAGAAAACTTAACGCGCGTTGGAAATTAGCCTAGCCTGCTACCGCTAACTCCTTCTGGACTCGAGCTCTGCGTAACATGTACGTCACCACACAGTTGTTGTCGCACCTTGTTCTGTTCAGGTTGAAATGAGTGAAACGCTGTAATCATATCGAAATATTGAAAATGTGCTTAAAACTCACATGCTCAAGAAGGACCATCAACCTAACAATGGATCATTAGCACCTGATGGCTGTTTACTGTTCACAGAGGGCTGAGTGATACTAGCAATCACAGCATTGTAAGAGGGGGACAGTTGAACCTGGAGGCTCCACCCCTGTTTAACGATGGACGGTTTCTTTTCACAAAGATGGCCTCCTTTACTCCTCTCTCAAACCATCGTTCCTCTCTGTCCAGGATGTGAACATCTTCATCCCTGAAAGAGTGACCTCTGGCCTGGAGATGAGTGTAGACCTCAGAGTCCTGGCCTGATGATGTTGATCTTCTGTGCTGGGCCATCCTTTTGGCCAGTGGCTGTTTAGTTTCCCCGATGTAAGACTGGATTATTGAGCATGCATCAGGATATTAGGCTTATTACTTCCCTTTGGATAAATCCTATAGTTAGGGTGGGCTTGGGTTTCCTGAGCTATCCTTTAGTTCTGCTGCTATAGGCTTAGACTGCTGGAGGACAAACTGACCACACTATCTCTCTCTCTACTCTCCATGTTTGTGTTTAGGCGTCCAAGTGGAGGCAAGATATCACAGCTGCAGGTTTCTATACATCCAGCTAACCATGGATATACACGTTTGTGTATTTAACGTGGTGCTTAAAATTTGTGAACCAATTAGAATTTTCTGTATTTCTGCATCAATATGACCTAAAACATTGTACCTGAACTTGAGCTTGAATTGAACTTATTTTTTTTTTGTTGTGTTTGCGAAACAGCAGGAGTTGAGAGAACAAAATAACTTAAAAAGTGAATCTCAAACAAAAGGAGCATATTAGTTTGTGGAATGAAGAAAAGATGCTGCTTTAACTGAGAATTCAAACGCTGCGTGTTCTCCTCAGGTGCTCCTGGCAGAGCAGTGATGCCAACACCAGGAAACACTGCGGTTTTTCGTGCTGCGTTATGGACACATCTGGAGAAACTAATGGACCAGATATGTGCTGCATGTAGACAGGTATGTAATCCCAGACTAAATGTAGCACACACACAGCATTGGATAAACCAGGTCAATAACAGAACAAAATGAAACAGGAATGGAAGTCAGCATGTCCATCTTTGTGTCTCTGATGTTGTCTTTGCAAAAACTGTTCAGGTGCAGCACCTGCAGAAGGTTTTGATGAAGAAGAGAGACCCTGTCAGTCATGTCTGCTTCATTGATGACATTAGCAAGGTGGGTAAACGTGTGAGTCCTGTAATGTCAATCGTACACAGTTCCTAAAACAACAAAGCGAGCTATCTTATAAAATACAAATAAGGAATGTTGTTTATGGTATTTTAAAATCCCTTAATGCCAGACAGCAAAGCAGGGTGTACCGGTTTGTCCACTTGAACTGAAAGAGAATCCTGGAAAGAGTTTTGTCCTTAAACTTTACTGTGAACCCCCACAAAGTCCATGCTCAGTGACTGAAAACAGCCATTTGTGTATTTGTTCCTTGGAGCCTACATGATGTTGTCATTTCCAGGCTATAGGACGCACCTGAAAATAAGCTGTGCACACTTAATAAAGATAAATACATAAAAAAATTGTACATATATAAGCTGCAGGTGTTCACGTTGTAACATGACATATTTACACAGAAAGATTTTTTAAACTTTTAATGTAATATGAACCAGTAACATACACAAATACGTACAGTAAATGTTTTTTTCTGAATAATGCCTCAAGCACAGCTGGTTAACAAATACAGTAGTTTACCAGGAAAACATCAAAGTCCATGCTCAATAATCCAGGTGTACAATCCAACATTTTTCAGTCAGCTCATCTGGACAGTTTCTTTTTTTGTGCTGAAACATTTCACCTTCCATCCAGAAGGCTTCATCAGTCAAGGAAACACACAACAAAACTGATTCTTCCCCCAACAGCTTACTCCAAAGTGGAACAAACCAGTTATGTTGGTGCTAAGATGGTCTCTTTGTCACGCCCCCTCCTCCATTACCGGCCCTCTTCCTTGTTGACAGTCGTGTCAAACTGGTTGAAAACATCAAAGTCCAGGAAATGGTTTACCAGGAAAAGTCACTGATCACTATCTTCATCTTCCTCTTGTGCACTAAAACCACTAGTCGTCTTCTTCAGTGTCAGAATTGAACAGCCTCAGAAAAATTTCATCACACTCGTCCTCAGTCTCTCTTTCCTTATCCACATAAATATGCTAGCCTACCAGGAAGTCATTGATTGCTATACAGTAGTCCCTCGCTACTTCGCGATTCGATTTTTGCGGACTCGCTCTATCACGGTTTTTTAAATTAAGAGTGGACATGACACACAGTTGACTTATTGATAGAAGAGCCGCACGTTCGGCATGGAATTTTTATTTCAAATAAATTATTTTAAATTATTTAGCACCTGTGTGCAGTCCACAGCTGTGGGAGAAGCTTCCTCCTGCAGCTGATCAGCTGATCTCCGTGCAGAGCAAAGAAGTGAGTGTAGCCAAAAGTGCAACTGGAAGCAGAGAGCTGAAACCATGACATTCTGTACTCTTTTAGAGCGTTTAGAAATATTGTTTACAATATTGCAAGAGTGTGGGAAGGGTTTAAAATTCCTTTATATATATATATATATATATATATATATATATTTACTGTAGCTCAAAAAGTGCCCGTCAGCATTACAGTGAAAACCACAGCATAAGCAATACAATAAGACAATGCAATATGAAACAACATAGAAGAATAGAATAAAAACCGTTGCTATTAACAGATACTGTAATAATCACAAAGAAGCATGTATCTGTGATGTAGTGATCATGATGGGCATGTGTCACCTGCAGGTGTTCTACTTGTCTTGTAGTTACATTATGGTCTGCACTGGATTCATTACAAACTGCAGCCCAAGCTCTCTTCTTCTTGTGCTCAGTAGAAGCAGTGTGGCTCTTACTTTCACTGACAGGATGATTTGTGACCATTTGTTTGAAGTTTTTTCATACTCCGTAGAGTTTTTTGAGCGAGTTCTTTTAGCTTCAGCCATTGTTTGGTGTCAACATTCACTCCAGAAACACTGCCCTCAATTCCATTCCAGGTTTTTATGAGCAAAAGTAAACCAACAAACAGGCTGTGCTCCAGCTTAGGCTAATGAGGCTTGATGCAGGTGTTGTCATTAGGCTTACTCCAGGACTCCATCGTCTTAGACTAACTAAAACAAAGTTAAACCACGTTCAAACAAGCCGCTTACATGCCCAAGTTTAACAAGTCCAGATTAGGCCTACTCCTGTCTTAATCCAAGCCTTGTCTGTGAAACCGGCCCCATATGTCTTTCTATTTTAGTCACACTATTAATTAAAGTATGGATGTGCTGGTGAAGATTCTCAGTCATCCAGGACATGATAAATTCAAAAAGTGTTCAACACATAAACAGCTGGACTTTATTTGTAACAGAAGACGTTTCGCTCCTCATCTGAGGAGCTTCATCAATTCAACACTCAGAGAGGGAGAGATTCAGGTTATAAGGCTGAGTGAGATAAGACACACACATGTAGATTGGCAGTTCACACCTCAACACCTTAACCTACATGTGTGTCTTTCTCACTCAGTCTTATGACCTGAATCTCTCACTCTCTGCTCTTTGAATTGAGGAAGCTCCTCGGATGAGGAGCGAAACGTCTTCTGTTACAAATAAAGTCCAGCTGTTTTTGTATTGAACGCTTTTTGAATTTTTACGCTGCTCTTTTTTTTTCCAACTTTAATTGGGGGCTGCTGTGGTGCAGTTGTTCTTACTTTCACTATTAAACACAGCTCTGAGTGCTGCTGTTGTTTTTCTTCCATTTGATTTCACCAAGTGTTTAAGTGATCACTGATCACCATCATTCAGGATTTATTTCCAGCCACATTTCTTCCTCGAAGACGATGGGTCCCCTCTGTCCTTCCAGTTTTTAATAATGCGTTGGACAGTTCTGAACCTAATTTTAGTAGTTTCTACAATCTCCTTAGATGCTTTCTCTGCTTGATACCAATGATTTGACCCTTCTCAAACAGACTGACTTCTTTTCCACGACCAAGTGATGTGTCTTTCAACACGGTAGTTGAAGAAATGAGAAGCAACTCATTGCACCAGTTGTGGTTAAATAACTTGTTGCAGCTGTAGATGAACATATGCTGGATATATTCATAAATTAAACGGATTCTTTCATTTTTCTGGACTGTATAATGTCGTGCATTGAATTTAATAAAATGTAACGTGAGACGTTAATTATCTTTGACCCATCAAAATGAACGTGGTCATTTATTTACAGAATCAAAATTTAACATCACACATTTACATTAATTTGGCAAAATATGAAAAATAACAACATGGCTTAATTAGCAAGCTGTACAATTTGATTAACCATACGGCGATGGTTGAAAAACTTCTCAACAGACATTTCTGAAAATATCTGGAATGATTTGAAGCAAAAGAAGAGTTTAAAGATAGAAATTGAAGTTTAAGTTGAGAGAAAAAATGGACGAGGGAAATGTTTGTGTCGGCATCAGAACGGCACTCTCCGGGTTTTTCCCAGCTTCTTTCCCGGTACACTTAGGTGGTATAAATCAACTCTTTTACCTGGCGGAGGTGATTCCACTGGTATGGAGTTCCATTTAACGCACCCTTTCAGCGTCTCCGTAGGAACAGCTGTGAATCGTCCGAAGTAGCGACGGTATTCCGTCCGACACAGGTTCACCTCTCGGTGGACTCACATGAGTGGAGTCCGTCAGAAGTTCCACTCAGAGGTGGAAGATGTCATAATCCCCAAAAGACTCGAAGAGCTCTGGATCATGCTGGACTTCTGTTCTCCCAGCACTGGAGCGGCAAACGACTGAAGCCGAAGCCTGAAGCGACTCTCCACCCGACTGGTTTGAACTAGGAAGTACCGACATTTAAAGAGCTCTATTTCCGGTTCATTTGGGAGGTTCCTGATTGGTCAATATCGACCAGACAGGGGTGTGTTTTTGTGACATAAGAGGTCACTAGGAGTCAGAAAAACAGAAAGTGTTTTGGAACAGATTGAAAATGTTTTTAGAGACAGAGAGAGGAATATTTAGGCGAGTTGGGGTAAAACAGGTGCCAGCCTCTATATTTACGTCTGAGAGGATTTTAAAATCAAGACAGTTCGTTCCAACAACTTGTTTTGCGTTTGACTCCAACCTTGGACCAACTTACACTTGCTCATTCAAAGACAGAAAATCAGAAAATGCATAATTACTCTGTAACAGACCTTAACATGATTTCTACTTTGCATGAGGATTAAAAATCATTATTACTGTTTCACAGTTGAATTAAAAATGATTAGTTCACTGCAACATCTAAAATGGTTTGAACTAAAAACACTTTGATTATCAAACATTTGTAAAATAGTAATGATAATAGAAAAAGAGAGTGTTCTTTCAATTGATCAGTGCAGGACACTTAGAAAGTCTTCTGGATGGACTTAAATCAATGAAATACAGTTCTTGTTCCAGGAAGGCCCCTCAAGGCCAGATTTGACCTGAGGCCTAGTTCACTACACAGCTGAAACATAATGGTCCATGCAGTGATGATCCAATAGGAGGCTCATAACGATTTGCTTAGTTAAATCCAGGTGGAGACTTTATTTTTTGGGCCAGGCAGTGTATGTCACCCTCTAACAGATGGCACTGTAATAAAATGATCTTTTAAATTCACCTGTCAGTGATTAGATCGTTCAGTTGAATCTGTGTGCATATGGAGAATGAAGAGTGCAGATCTCCATTTGTACATGGAATATATTGTAGTTACCAGGTTTAACAAAGATTATGGTAATAAGACAATGTCAGGCACTTTTACTTACTCATACTGAGAATGAGAATGATATTAGTCATTAGAAATTAAAACGCAAGACTAAGGCGTATTCCTTAAAGGGAAAAATCCTTTTGGTCACTTCAGGGACCAATCATGAGAAACGCCAAAACTGAACTCGGCCGCTTGTTGTTTAAACGGTACAAAAAAACTTCAACATACTTTTAATACTAAACATTGGCTGTGGATTACATAAGAAATACAGTAAACCCCGGCTTCAGTGTTACTAATATTACTTTCAGTAATAGTCTTAAACTCATTACTAGTCAGCAACCACATTTCAATGTTTCACCTCCCCAGATAACGGTTACTATGGAAACAAAGCTCTCACCAATTACCCAGCGGTGGAGGTGTGATTTGAGAGTTAATGACATGTCTAAATGCAA